CTAGTCATTCTTAATCATTGGTACTGTATCCGCTATCTGGATGAATACCTTCAAAATTGGTTAACAATTTTGCTTCTCCGGCACCCCCATGTAATGAATGCCTGTATTATCATTATTTCATTTTATCCATCCATAAGCGGATACAGATATTATATCTTACATCTAAAAATAGAACCAATCCTGAACCGGGAAATGATGTAACAATTGGTAGTCGTGAAGGGGAATAAAAAAAAGATGGCGACATAACTTTCCTGTTCGTTTTGCGTGTTTCCAACATTGAAGTCATCCATGGCGTTCCAGGCTTCCCCAGATCCTACACTACACATACCAAGTACCTCATTACAGAAATGTCGCTCCATTTCATTCCAAGCTGGCTTGATAAGGGACAACTGGCCAGGGGAGTACCAGGATGTTCTGTCTCAGGAAATCTGTCACAACATGAGCGACATGTGGACGGACATTATCTTGCTGAAGCGTGAAGTTACGTCCCTGTCCTTAAATGAACGGCTGCACATGAGGCCCAATGATCTCATCCCTGTATCTCAGACCTGTCACATTGCCACTAACACTGACAAGTTGTGTCTGACCATGAGATGTGATGACTCCCCATACCATAACGTTCCCGCCACCAAATTGTCGACATTGAACAACGCACGCATCAGCATACCGTTCACATCACCGTCTGTACGCCCTTGTCCTGAACTGTCCAGATGAAACTGTAACTCGTCAGTGAACAAAGTGTAATGACTGGAAATATTACACAGTTTAAACTTGTTGTCCAGATCATTAATAATTACTAGTCGTGCGGAGTACCCAACCAGATGTAACCTTGACGTTCATATTTCAATGAGTGACCAGTAAACTGCCATCCGAATCTATACTATACTAAAACTTGTAAAGCACTGATATCCAGGAAAATGCTGCTCAAAAGCGCTGTTGTTTCTGAGAAAAAGAAATTCACTGATCAAGAGCTAAGTTGAAAAAGTGTGTCTTGAGTTTTGATTTGAATCCAGTGAGAGTGGTCTGGGATTTGATATGGATTGGCAGTTCATTCCACAAGCATGGTCCGGCATATTCAAAGGCTCTTTCGCCAAAGGTCTTTGTGCGTGATTTTGGTACTTGTAATTGAAGTCCCTCTTTGGATCTGAGTGAGCGACGTGGCTGGTATCTGTGAATAAGACTGGACAGGTAAGACGGAGCTGATCTATCAAGGCACTTGAACACCAGTACCAGTATCTTATACTAAATACGGCACTTCCCTGGTAACCAGTGGAGGTGTTGCAGGACTGGTGTTAAATGGCCATACTTCCTGGTTTTGCTAACAACCCTGACAGCAGTGTTCTGGACATTTTGTAGTTTCTTCAGTTGTTGATTTGTGATTCCAAAGAGAAGAGAATCACAATAGTCGAGGCGTGATGTTACCAGTGCTTGGGTCAGTGATGCAGCTGTGTGGTTGTTGATATATCGCTTGGAGATGAGGTTGACTCAAAATTGACCTGACTGTCAAAAATGACTCCGAGGTTATGTACTTCAGAGCTTGGTGTGATCTCACAATCGCCAAATTTGACTTCTGGCAGTGAGACTCTAGGTCGAAGATGTTTAGGACAGGGTATCAACAGTTCTGTTTTGTCTTCATTCATTTTGAGGTAGTTATATATCATCCAACTTTTCATTTGTTCAACACATTCCTGAACTTTCTGGAACAATGGTTTAATTGACTGTGTTTGGAGAGGCTTAAAGGGCAATGTATATCTGCATGTCATCAGCGTACAGATGATATTGGAGGTTGTGCTTTCTTGCAATGTCACCTAAAGGGATTGCATATAAGGTGAATAACACAGGGCCTAAAACAGATTCCTGGGGTACAGTTAGTCTGTCTCACAGTCCCTGAACCACATTAATTTCCCTACTGCCAAGCCCTCTCTGCAGTGCTAAAGCCCTAAATAAAGCAAGTCTAGATTTCCTCAGGTTCAGGTCTGAATCTCTGGTCCCCCTACGGCTCCTTTTCAATATAAATGGGCTTGTTTGTTACTATCAAAATTATATATATTCAGAGACTAAGCCTTAGTCTAGGGTACAGTCTGTACATACTGACTGCCTACCTGACATGTATGACATGATCCACTCAAGTGCCGCTCCTATGACACCGATTCTGTTCTCTAGAACTCTGAACAGGACATCATGGTCTATGGTGTCAAAGGCAGCCGAAAGGTCTAAAAGAATGAGAATTGCTGCTCCTTCACTGCTAACAGATTTGAGCAGGCTGTTTCAGTGCTGTGACCAGACCGATAGGCAGATTGAAAGGGTTCATAGCAGTTGTGGGATGTCATGTGCTGCTTGAGACAACAACTTTCTCAGTCAATTTGGAAATGTAGGACAGGTTCGACACAGGAAGATAGTGTTTCAGGATTTCATGGCCCAGGTTAGGTTTCTTCTTGTTCTTCAGAAGCCAAGTTGGCATCGGATCCAGGGTACAGGATTTATCAGGAGTCCTTGAAATAAGATTTTGCAGTTCAGTTACAGAGGTTTCCTGAAAATGTCAAAGTATGGTTGAACATGCAAGCATGTCTGGTTCCTGTTGTTCTGTGATTTGGTTCAGGGAAGTTCTGATGTCAACAATCCTTTCCCGGAAGAACTCTGAGAATCTGTTACACAGTTCAGATGTTGTTGAACAGGATGGAAGTTTGGTTCTCTTCTGCTTGTACAGGAACCTGTTTGAAATGTTGAATACTTCTTTCTGACCATTGGCATCATTCAAGGCACTGTTGAAATAGTCAGATTTTGCCTTGTCAGTTACTGAAGACACAACATTCCTCAGCTTGTCATGGATCTCCTTGCGAATAATCAAGCCTGTTTTTATCCCCTGCCGCATGTTTAGCGTATATATTTAGCCTAATATAGTATTAGGCTCCGTCCGTCCGTCCGTACGTACGGAATTGGAATATCTTAAAAACCATTGACTGGATTCTTTTCATACTTGGTGCCTAGGTTCATCACAGTATAAGAAAGGTCCCAGTCAGGTTTGGTGACCTTGACCTTTATTTCAAGGTCACAAGGGGACTTCAACATTTTACCCTTGTCAGCGAGATATCTCAAGAACTGTTCCCTGGATGTTCTTCATATTTGACACCAAGCTTCATATAGGGAAGGCGCAGGGCCCAGTCGATTTTGGTGACTTTCCCGTAAGTTTCAAGGTCACGACGACACTTTGAAGATTTCAGCATGTTAGCCTGCATGTTAAGCTTGTCAGCGAGATATCTAAAGAACCGTTCAATGGATTTTCTTCATATTTGACACCAAGCTTCATATAGGAAAGGCGCAGGGCCCAGTTGATTTTGGTGACCTTCCCATAATTGTCAAGGTCAGGACGACACTTTGAAAATTTCAGCATACTAACCTGCATGTTAAGCTTGTCAGCAAGATACCTCAAGAAACATTCACTAGATTTTCATCATATTGGACACTTGGCTTCATACAGGGAAGGTGCAGGGCGCAGTCGAGTTTGGTGACCTTCACATAATTTTCAAGGTCACAGCGACACTTTGAAGATTTCAGTATGTTAAAATTGTCAGCAAGATATCTCAAGAAAGGTTCACTGGATTTTCTTCATAGACTTTCAAGACTTTTCTTGAATGTTTTTTGATAAGCAGTTTCTCTATTACTATATTTTGCATATTTCATACACCATGACATTCATGTCAAGGTCAAAGTGAGTCTTGAAAATATTTGTGCGTTTGAACAACTACAGAGCAGAGCAAGATATCAAGAGAGGTTGACTGGTCATGTTTTGGTTGGCATTTAACTTCATCTTAAACTACGACCTTCACTTTCATTATTCTTTAAGTTTGATTTGACAATTAGCAGCGGGGGGATTGTGTCACCTTAGTGACAACTGCTTGTTCTATATTGTTTTTCCAACTTCCTACGCTTGAGTTTTTCCTTTCTGATGGTTTTGTTATGCCACGATGCATTAGGGTGGAGAGTTATCTTACAGGTGATCAAAGGAGCATGTTCCCTGAGTATTTTCTATACAGTTATACATGTCAACACACTCCAGTACAGATTTGCTGTGGTAGTCTGACAGTACTTTTGGGAGGTCCAGTTGGAAAGACTCATTAATGTCGAGATTTGCTTTCTCTCTCTGGAGGGTAGCTTCATATCAACCATGAAGATAACAGCTGTATGGTCAGAATCAACAGATGTGTCATACGTCATGTTCAGGACTGACATATTGTCGCCACGAGGATGGGATCCAGAGTTGATAGTATTGAAAACAGACAGAGTGTTCTGCTGTGGTGCTAAACATTTGACAGGCAAGGTGTATGAAGTGGAATGAAATTACCTGTCACGTTGAATTTTGACTTGTGTTCGGAGCACGTGGTGTGTGCAGTGAATCAATGAAGGGAAGGCAAGTAAGTATAATGTTCGTCAATTCGTCATAAGACTTATCTAATGGCAAATCAGGATGAACTGTAGCTCACATTAGCTGACATGTTTTCATTCCACATGAAGACAACAAAGCACTTCTTCGTTTCAAGGGACTTGTAATGCTGGCAGCCACTAATAAATGTCCTCAAATTTTGCACCATTCCTCCCATGGGCATTTAGTGGAGTCAAATTCAGGCACATTCAAACATGCAGCCATCTTCACAAAGTCTACAGATTCCTAAGTGCAAATTGACAAGGTAACACTTACTTGTCTTCCCTTCGTTGATTCACTGCACACACCATGTTACTGAAGTCAGAATGCAAATTTGCTTCTTATGGTTCACAAATGTTTATTGAAGTGTTAGAATAGTATCTGTGCCATTTGTGTTTACCTCTGACATTTACTCAGTTTATGCTTCATCTCTCAAAAATAAACCACTCAGATATTTGATTGTATTCTTGCAATTCCTTTTGCATTTAAAAAATGTTAATGAAATGAGATTAACACATGTAATTCAATATTCAAGTTTGTACTTGTAACAGACAGTGATCAAGCACTTTTCATTTTCTAGTTGATGCCTCAAGCAGAGGAAGGAGGTCAGGATCTGTTAACTTCAGTGTCACTGCAGAAATGTAAGTTCACCTTATTTCAATTTTTTTATTACTTTTGATCAAGCACAAATATTCTTAGGAGGTGCAGAGGACTTTGTGGTATGGACGCTTGCACATTCACCATCTTATGTTATGACCATGTTTGTAGTGTGTTGTTGTCGACTGTCAACTTTTGCCCCACAAAATGTAAGGACCAGTTAGCTATAAACTTGCAAACTTGTTCTCATTTATTCATTTATTTATTTGATTTCTAGTCCAGTGAAATGTTAATGCTTTAAGGTTTGTCATGCTTTTGGCTTAGCAGTTCCGGTAGTCTGTGATTTTTCTACAGTCTATGGAACAAAGGTTCTGACATCATTGCATATTGTCTGTTTACTTTGTCCTAATGGCGCCTTAATAGAACATCAAAGGTCAAGTTGGTGGTTTGTGGTTACTCTTTCTGAAAAACGTGAATCTGTACTTTTCAAAAAAGAAACTAGACATTTACTTTGAAAGATGAATAACAAAACAAGTGGACAAGATACAAGCAACAAAAGATCATGACACAATGGTAAGGGGATAACACTAGACATGTCCCAAATAGTATCTCTGGTAAACCACCTGAAACATGTACACAGGTATGTCACTGACATGAGGATGGGCAAAATGTTGGTATCAGTTATGATCTCCATGAGCCCGGATGACAGCTTAACAGCAATGGTGCATGGAAGCTTTCAAATGTTGTGGACTGTTCTGCCACTCATGCTGAAGTGAAGTAAGGAGGTGCAGAAGTGTATGGGGTAGTGGATTGCTCTTGTGCACATGCTGATCCAAAGGATCCCAAAGATGTTCGCATTCTATCAGGTTCTGCACAATCACAATCTTTGACCAAAAGCTTCATATCTGTCACGGAATTGTCAAACCTCTCATTCTGTTCCTGTCTTTGCCTGTTGAATATCACTGTTGTCCTAATTTGGTTATTTTTTGGCGCTGCTTAACAATCATACTTTACAAAAACACCAGCTAAAGTTTCATTTTCAGCAGGATGTTCACCATCATGAGGGGCCCATGTAAATGTCTCATACACTTCCCGTCCTTTGTCACCAATGTCAGTCATGAGGTAATTCACTTCCTGCACTTGCATTTTGCCAGACCGCTGAATATAAACTGACAATGTTGTTTGAAACGTTTCCATTCTCGTTCAAGATCAACAGCATCCTAGTTGATATGAGGTGTATTACTGTCACTTGTTGCCATAGTGAAAATTTAGACACGTAAGCTTCGAAGATGTTAACTTCTACTTACTGTTCAGCGACAGGCACCTAATTTCTTGAACATGCGGTGAGGCGTATTTTCGCTTCATTTCATGAAAGTTGAGAATGTCACTTCACAAAAACTTACCGGTTTGACGCCTGGAGATCTAGACTCCTAAGGTCTCTAAAAGCTTCAAATGTTTAGTTTGACAGCTTGAAAATCATTTCTGACATCATGTTGCATATCGAACAACACGGCAAATGTTGACAATACGTTTAATGATGCATACCAAACGATAATGCAGGCACCAGTCGATAAACTGATAAGATACATGCCAGTTGATAACATTCATTACACATCAAACATAATGAATGGTTTGCTGTACATGTAAATATAATCTGCACCTGGATATGAATGAATATCCAAATTAAAGTACATGTATTATAGAATTCAAAGAGTGACACTATACTAAATTATTATATTCCATAAACTTGCAGTTGAATCCCCCCCCAAATATTTATGAAGATGGGCGCGCCTATATTTATACTGAATGCAAACGAGGTTCATAAGATTACAGATGTGCATGTATGCATAAACATTAGGATAGGGGTGTGACTCCAAAAAACAGGTTGTCCAACGATATAACAGCGCATGTTTATTTTACACTTGTCATGGGACAAACCTTTCCAGCTTGATATGCATTCTGCTGGAGGTTGTTATTTCAAGGTCAAAAGAGGAGCTCAATTATCTTCATTACTATAGTCTGATTGAATGATTATACGCATGTGTATCGATACCATAACTGATATACTATCCAGCTTTTATTGACGATGGATCAATAGAGACTGAGTTCATTGATACACGTGATAATTAACCCGGATCAGATAATTACAGAGATAGAATACAATAGTTTTTTACACAATGATCATGTAAATTGCATACAAAAATGACAATTCAAATAACTATGAAACTTTCAACAGCTTGAACCAAAATGTTAAAATACCTTTATATGGTTTAAATGTAATAACTTGTGATATTACTTCTATATATGTCTAAGAATTTTGAATTACCAGCTGTGTTTTGTAATAAACGTAGTAAAAGATTTCAGTGTTGTAATAACACTGACATGTACGTATATTTTGTGTCGATGCAAAGGCGTGAGTTATCACTTTATATTTGATTAGGTAACATTATCAACTTTAGATTATGAAAAAGAGTTACAATTCAGTAAGCTTTAAATTAGTAATTTATGTCTAATCTGTTCGAGCTTGGATGTATAATTATTTGTGTTTACGATTCATTATATGAAACATGACAACGTAATAATACCTTAAAAGTAAATTCAAAGTATTCTAATTTGTTTGAATTCTTTCTATGTCCTTGAAATTTCATATCTTGTTTCGTATTTAATAGGTAGTTCAAGAATATATTGTCTTCAATAACCTCTAAACCATTACATCTAATTCAGTCAATGTGCATAAAAAAGTATTTTAGTATCCCCTCCCAATAAAGAATACCAGACACCAAACACTTGCATCTGTAAAAGCATATCATAATCCCCTTTCTCACTGACATGTGTTCATTTACCAAACACTGTATAAGCCTGTGATAATGATTAGTAATTGTTATCAAAATACTCTAAATACTCCCTGTGATCAACACTAAAGGTAGCATCTCTGGTAAGAAATGCTAATCTTTGCTTAGTACTACTAAATTGGTCGAAATAATAGGTATATTGCAATAAATACTAAGGATGCACATGTGCATCACTTGCTGAATAAGATTTGCTTTGTATTGACGCACATATGCAGCTCTCGCTATGAGAATCAGCTGATATCTTGACACATATACGCATCACTGGCTGTGAGGACATGATGGCCTTAATGAGTTAAAAGAACTGCTTTGAGAAGAAGAAAGTTTAAAAGACTCTTCATTCCAAATATCACCCGCTACATCAACCGAAGTATCCAGAACAACTATCTCCTTCTGTCTGAGAGCAGTGATTTTAGGAGCCTATTAGGCAGCAGGACTGGATGCACCTGGAGTCTCCAGTCCTCACGAAATCAGAACCATTGCATCCACTTTAGGTCTACATGGCAACTGCTCCATCTCATCAATTATGGAAGGATGTTTCTGGAGATCAGACACTGTCTTCGCCAACCACTATATCAGAGACTTAACTACCGAGGATGTTTCCGAATACACCAGTTTGGGTCCTTAGTTGTGGTGCAACAGTTGACAGTTCCAGCTCGAAGATAGGTACTCACCCATAATCATGTAGACTCGTAGACGTCAGGTTACCGTTCCATAACCACGTACAGAGAGTCCATGCCCGTCTGTTTTACTAGATAAATCAGAGCATGAGTGATACGATTCAGTTTGGTTTATTCTCTATTAACATATGGATCGAACCAAGATAAGAGTGAATCTAATTCCTTGCGAGTCTTAAAAATCCACAAAATCTTACGATTTACTTCTTTTGTAATTCAAAGAAGGTGGTACCCCACTTTTTGCCGCAGTAATCTGAAGATTGAAGAGTTCCCAGGGGGTGGATTGAACAGTTTCTTGTAATCCAAATAGATGGCTGACCCACCACCTATTTGTTGGATTCAAGCAGTAACATATCAGTCAGGACAAGGAAAAATATGTATTTTGGGGGATAAGTCACATGGGTCACTGGCGTAGAGACAGGGAGAGGCCCATTTATGGTGAGCTATTTTTTACTGCTCATTAGGGAACAATAGGACATAGGTTTCCACTGTACCTCGGAAGAAAATGGAGATATAGCAATAATGAGTCAGGATAGTTATGAAATAACATTTTTATCTAAAAAAATACTTTTTTTTCCTTATCCTGACTCATGCTCTTTTGCTTGTCTTCTTCTTCTTGCGAACATAGTGGAACACTTGTATCTCCCTAATTGAAGCTCCCTTCAATGTAAAATCACTAATTAGTACTCACCACGAGTTGCCTCCCTCTTCCATTTGCGCGGGAAAGGAGGCGCCACCCTCTGGCCTCATGCTTCACTCTCTCCTTTTTCGCCCAGTGAGCAGGATGTGAGAGCGCCTGTGTCTCCCTACACACTATATCCTTTGATTATTCTTAGTTAGTTACCTCTTATAGTCTTCTATAGAGGTGTAGCTAGTATTCAACAATTATGTATTGATAATTAATCGTATTTCTGCTGTTTATTCACGGGACGCCGTGATTGTTCAGCAAGTTTACGTTAATGAAAATCTGTACTATTTGTAGATTACGTTTTTCTGCTGCTGATCCGCATTTAATATGCCCTAGCTGTACTACGCCATGTGCATTTTCTTCACGTTGCAGTTACTGTATTAATCTGTCTAATTCTGCATTTAACAAATATTATCTTTGCGTCTTGAGACGTGCAGCAGATAGGTCACGCAAACAAGGTTTAGCCATGGCCGATACATCGGAACCCCTCGCCAGTCAACTGCTGTCGGACGACCCCCTCCCGTCTGGTGTTCCGCTAGAGTTACCCTCGGAGGAGAGGCGTGGGACGCAGTCCACCGTCTCCATGAAGCGTCCTGCATCCCCAGACATCCCGTAGTCGCAGCCAAAGACTAAGAAGGCTTCGACATCATCTCATCGCAGACTCCGTACCCCCAGGGCAGCGTCTACCTCCAAGGGGAAATCGACGAAGTCTTCTAGAACCTTCTCAGCCGAGATTGTTCCCGCCGCAGAACTGGGCCTGTATGATGATCAGCCGATCATCATACCCGATCTACGCCACAAGAAACGACCGGTGTCAGCAACAGTGACGT